CAATTTTTAAAAATGAGCATACAAAATTGCTAGTTTTCTTATGCCATTTTCATACATAGTTTTTTGGTTGATCCTCTTCTTTCCCATCCCTCTCCCCCAATCTCCTTGTCCTGCCTCCCTGATTATACTGTTCACCTCCAATATTTCCCTTTCCACTTTCATATCACATGGGATCTATTACCCTGCTTACTTTTCTCTTTAAAGTCTCTTTTTCTCCCCTTTCTTGGGGCCCTTTCTAGTTTCCTGGCATCTACATTTCCTTGCTCCCATAGAGATACAGGTACATAAAAATTAGAAGCTAGGATACACATATGAAAGAGAAAATATATTATTTACTTGATTTCTTGAGTCTGGGTTACTTCACTCAATATACCATCCTCCGGTTCCATCCACTGTCCTACAAATTTCCATAATTTTCTTTTCTTTTATGGCTGAATAAAATTCCATTATATATATTTATCACATTTAAATTATACATCTATCTGTTGACTGACATGTAGGCTGACTCAATTTCCTAGCACTTGTGAATAGAACAGCAATGACTTTGACTGAGCAAGTAGCTCTGTAGTAGGGTATAGAGTCCTTTGAGCATATATACAGGATGGTATAGTTGGGACAAGTTTTAAATTTAGTTGTTCTTTGTATTGGATTAAGACAAAACCAGAATCCTTTTCTTTGACTAAATATTTCTGTGGCTCTGAAGGCATGAATTTCTTCATGACTACTAATCACTGGTGTGGAAAAATATAGAGGAATCATCACATCCATTGCCCTGTCTCAAAGCAGAACTATGCCAATTATATCTCACATGAGTGGGTACTGTTTACTTCTGGAAATATTCAGTAAACAGACAAAAACTTTGTTAATCATTTATTATAGAACTGAGCAATGACTTCATACCAAAATTCTTTCTTTAGTCAAACCCCATTCCCTTCTACCATTTTTAGCCCATTTACTTTTGTTTTATCTTAATAGAAAGAAAAGGTATCTGATTACATTCTGGTTCAATATAGCAAAGAAAAGAGATACATGAAGATCCCTTGGTTCTGTTCCAAATGAAGAACTACAACCATGTGAACCTAGAAAAAAATGAATGAAAATTTAAAAGTGAAAGATCAAAGAATGAAAATGAAACATTTTGTTGAATAAGACATAAAATTACTTTTTTGGTGTTATTGATACAGGGCCTCCCTGTAGCCTCAGCTGGCCTAGAACTCCCTATGTAGACCAGGCTGGCATTGAATTCACAGAGATCAGCCTGCCTCTGCCTCCTGAGTGCTGGGATTAAAGGTGTGCACCAACACACGTGGCTTGACATCAAAGTACTTTAATGATTTGGAGGAAAATCAAATGGTCTACTCACAGTTGGGACTAGGTACAGATAGGTAGAGTTAGACAGCTAAGGTGGAATTACAGCCTGGAAGTGGTTTCCTATGTGAAATTGATGCCATGGTTAGGATCTATAAGGTCCCCTCAAAGGCCTAATGTTGAAGGCTTAGTTGCCACTTTGTGGTACTCTTTTTTAATATTTTATTTATTATTTTTATTTTATGTGTATAAGTGTATTGCCTGCATGTGTGAAAGTGCATCTGTGTCATGCACTCTTTGTGATACTCTTGAGAGATTGAAGAACCCTTAGGAGATAAGGCCAAGTGGAAAGAAGTTAAATCATTGAGGGATATTTCCTTGAAAGAAATACAGAGACACTGATCTCTCTCTCTCTCTCTCTCTCTCTCTCTCTCTCTCTCATACACACACTCATACCTGCTTGCCCACCTCCCATGAGATGAGCAGTTTCTTTCACCAAATGCTTCTCGACATGTTGTAACTCACCACAAACCCAAAAGCAACATGCCTAAGTAATCACAGACTGAAATCTCTGAAAAAGAGAGCCAAACAAACTTTTCTTATTTTAAGTTGATTTGGATTTTTCTCACATACATTATCATAGCAACAGAAAGCTAACTGATAGAGCTGTAGATTAATATCACATGCTTCTTAGGTAAAAACGGACTAAAAAACTATGGCTCACTCAGTATTCTCCCCTAAAAATGCGTTGATTACTCAAAGAAGGCATTTGTAGTTGAGGTCTCCATTTAAGAACATTATGAGAGGCTAGCACTCTGCATGAAACAGAGGTAGAAACAGACAGTCTAGGCAAAAGGCACCTAGTAAGATACCTAAGCAACTAGTTTACAGCTGTCACAAGGCCTGAAATGACCATTCCAGAAGGAAGGAAGAAAGGACTCTTGCAAAACAAAATCTCATGGACAGTAAGCTTCTAAACAACTAGAAAAGCAAGAAAAATTCATGTCTAAGTAAGGATTTCAAGAAACCCCAGAAAGTCAGAATTTGTATCTAAAAGCATCATAAATATTTCAACAACTTAGAGTATTCTTTAAATAAATTTCAAATACTTTAAAGAAATAAAAAGAAAATAAACCCTGAGAAATTATGACAGAATAACATAGTAACAACTTGTCAGTATTTTTAAAGTATTTTGAAAACTTGGAGATAATCATTATTG